ATTCAAAGACGATTCATTTTTTTTGAAAATTTTTGAGTTATAAACACGAACAGAAAAGTATATACAGTAAACATTGATCGTGATATCTCAACAACAATAAGAACTACGATCATGGAATTGTATAGCAATAAACTTGATATTATACTAAACAACGTAATACATTTTGGATTAAAAGAACATGGCAAAACAAAATTTACAAATCGGGTCAAGACTTATGAAACACCCTTTATCAATTTTATTAAGAATGGCTGTGAGAAATATTATTTATTTATAACATGTTTGACTGAATAAAATTGAGCGGCAGACGAGATGGCTACTGACGACTATGACACTATTGGCCATAGTTTATTTCAGAACTTTCCAAGTCTATAAAGAAGTTACCAGTTTCGAACTTAGACTCTCCCATCCTTGGATCACATCTTCAAAAAGCAAAAGCACTATTGATAATGTAATAGGATTCTGTTATAATTTTTAACTGATAAGTTTCATTCTATGAAGTACAATTTGTAACCCAATCGCCGATTCGATAGTTTTCAGCTGTCTAACATCACATTAAGTCACAAAAACATAGTGTGGTATGCTGATGTAGAAAGGACTCGATATATTGATACTTATACTAACCTCTGCCATATTGCACTTTTTTGTTTATATGATGAACTGTATTATGCGATAAGAGATTTGTCTTCTTAATGGAATATTTTTATAATTTACTATTACTCTAGTATGAATGAACTCGTTCGTTTTTACTTATATATATCTTTAGAAGGTCATCAGTAAAATACTGTTTTCGTTCGTAAATATTGTTCAAGTAGATCAGCAGCAGTACATTTCTGTACGTCCGACTGTATTTATCTGACTGTATAAAGTGCTGATTCTTACAAAAAGCAGAAAACAAAGGAATGGACAAAAACGTTTCAATTTTTGTGATATTTTACTACATTGAACCTAACATATATGGCCCCTATATTAAAGTGGGCATTTTTCCATAGAGCAGGCGGGCATGGAGTAAAAATGATTATTTTCTCATAATATTATCTTATTATGTGTCAAATATTAATAGAAGGAAGAAAAGTTAAATTCTAAAAAAACTTTTTTCCGATGAAAAATCCCTAAGGAGGACAATTGCTCTGAACTTTTGTCTAAAATACTTTTATTTGTAAAACTAATAAATTATACATCATTCAATGCAGGTTCGTGCGGTGATTTCAAATATAACATTGTTTTTTTACAGAAATGTTTCTGAATCGACAAAAATATATTTTACCATAAAAATCAAGGTTTTTTGGAAAGCGCATATCTCAGTCCAAGAAACGAGGAAAACAGTTGTATAAAGTTGATTGCACATAGGTGTAATTTTGGTGTAATTTTTGGTGTAATGTTGAATTTGATTCGAGGTTGGATGTCGGTGGATACCTCATTACAATTTAAGTACCTATAGTGAGCATGTATTTTCTTTCTGTCTGATTATCGATCCAAATCTAAATGTTTTTTACTGTTAGATAGCTCGAAGGTTCTAGATTCCAAACATATACTTTTTATAATTTTAAATTGGCTTACTTCAATGTAAAATTGTTTTTTTCCGTAAAGGTTGCTAAAATACAGCTATTTTTAACTTAAACATTTTTTTCGAAACTTCGGGACTCGAAACAAAAAATTTTATACTATTAGATAACCCATCAATCAAAGTATATTTAACACTACTTTGATTTTGAAAAAGCGCACTTTCGATTTTTCTGTCAAATGTCCACATGATTGCCCACTGTGCTATATCAAGCACATACAGTAAGAACATTTTGCGATTTGTTTCATTCTAATATTGAAACCGATCATTTTTTATTTATAAATGTATTCTTGTCTATATCGATACATGCATAAATAAGTACCTTTAGCGAAATAATAGAAACATGCATGACCTTTAAAACTCAATGCCAATGCAAGAGCTGACAAATCACCAATTAATGAAAAATAAACAATGTTAAAAAAATGTATATTTAAGTTATCTGATTCAATTGAAATGCCAAATATTTTTAATTTATTTAATTCTTCAGCCAGATGCTGCAGCCAAATAGTGGCATTTGGTTTACCATTTGCAAAGCAGCAGACAACAGAATTATATTGTTATGACGTTTTCTAATAGATGGTCTTAGCTCAACTATGGAAACTGAAAACGTTCATATAGGAGAAAAATGGGCACCGATAGTTGCTGATTATTTTCAATTAAGCAACTGTTCATCAAATAGAAATGCCACAAATCGCTGCAGTGATATTTTTTGTTTAATATTAACAACTAAACTTTTTGATTGTAACGTTCGTCGTATATAAAATAATTTGTATTTGAAATATGGTCAACAACTAGAGCTGCATTGGTATCATCTCAACTGTAACTCTGGAATATGTTCTCAGTTGTCAATAGCAGACGGTGGTGGCATATGCGTTCATACAGCAGAAATTCCGTATGTATTTGGAACTATCAGTTCTTATATAATTCAGTGAATCTAGAAAATTGCACATGGGATAACCAATCGCGAATATTTTTCAATCAAATTATTGCGCATTGGGTCAATAAGGCTACAACAAGAAAACCATTAAAACAATGGCCATATTATGATCCATCAACACAAAAATATTTTTATATTACACCTTATGAAGATTTTTCAGCTGTGTCTTGGAATGGATCTTGTTTAATTTTTGATCAAATAGAACTGGAAGCAATATCTTCAATGTTTAGAAATGACAGTCCATGCTACTATAGGAATACAAATACGATTGTATTTTTCGTCATATTATTGTCGATGTTTACAACGAGCAATACTCATCGCTGTGTGTAAAAATAGACTCGGTTCTATCATCTTTACTCTTTACTTTACTATGAACATGACTATTACATAAAGAATAAATTCTGCCAGTGTTTTCAAATAGTTTGTTTTTAGAATACCAACGAAAATCTGTAGTAATAAATGGGAAAAGAGCTCTGTCACCTTTGCAGAGCACCCCGAATAGTTACCGTCGATGTTTTCGTGCTGACGATACGAGCTGTGTCAATTTTACTGATCATTTCTCGCTTCAGCACGGTTTTGAAGTGATCTGATCGAACTAATTTAACTTTGTGTTGGTGTCTGCACAACTTTTAAAAAGCATTTTGAAAAAGTCGGGAAAACAAAGAAAAAAAGTTGTCACTCAGATTGTGGGACATATAGATAGTGAATGGATCCTGTTAATGCTATTGATATTCGACTGCAGGAAAGCTTTGTCAGCGCCTTTCGTCAGAACATGTGCCTCGTCCAATGACAACAGATATCTATAAGACTAAATTGAATAAAGGATCAACATAGTAAGGTAATGATGCCTGTAGGAGAAAAAAAATACACGCTTCGATGGATGACAATAATAATAACGTCGATTATTTATTCATTCGTATCTTTCTCACATGTCTCGACAAAACAGGTGAATGAAACAATCATAAATCGGTCGCTTCAATCTCTTTTGTATTTACAATCACACCAGATATAGTATGGCCTCCAGCAGTACATCAGTCAACGACAAAATTCTATCCAAAGCTTTCGTTGACTATTCGGAGTGTGGGATTTGCCTCGACGTTCTCTGAATCCCAATGATATAATCATTCGAATTTTGTACTGCGCCATTTGTCATGGGTAAGATTGTCATCTTTTATTATGTTCGGTTTTGCACAAAATCCTCCTAGTGATATACATGGTGTCAGAAATGAATGGAACAATAGCCAGTTTCCAATGGTCCACGGTCATGAAATTACAGGTGTTGTCCAAAAATTAGGCGCTCAAGTGACTAAATTGAAGTGGGTGATCATGTCGGCGTTGACTTCATTGTTGATTCTTGTCGCCAGTGCCAACAATGTACGTGTTCCTTTATAGGCGAATAGTTACCCTAGATTTTGAGCGATTTCTCTGCATACAGGCCAGAACGATCTTGAACAGTACCGTACTGAGAACTCTGCTAAAACATTCAATAGTACCGAAATGGACAAGAAAACACCAACATATGGGGGTATTAGATTCGTAGATTCTAGTCATTCTCACCTCTCTAGAGATTCTTTGTCTGAATAGGTTACTCGAACTTTGTCGTGGTCGTGAATCATTTTGTGAGCAAAATTCCAGAGAATTTACCTCTTGATAGAGCCGCTCCACTTCTCTGCGCCGGTATTACCATCTATTCTGCTCTACGTCAACACAAGACTGGCAAAAATACTAAAATAGGGTAAGAGTGCGTATCTCGGTCGCTGTTTGAAAACAGAAATGTTCGTGTTGAGCATTATCGGGCTTGGCGGACTTGGACATCTAGCAGTCAGATTTGGAGTCGCCTTAGGTGCTGCTGTATTAGTCATCTCAACATCGGAATCGAAGCGTGACGATGCAATAAAACTCGGCGCAAAACAATTCATCTTATCTACAGATCTTGAACAGCTCAATACAACTGTTGACACATTTGATATTATTATTGACACAGTCTCAGCGAAACATGATATATCACTCATACTTTGTACGCTCCGCTTCCAGGGCACCTTCTGCATGTGAGTAGACGGCATGAGCAGTTGTACAAGTGACTTGTAAACGCTGTTCTTTCCATATAGGGCAGAGTTGGAACCGATCAGCCGGTCGCTACCGGTTCTCTTTCTTTTTGCGGACGCGGACGAGAACAAAAAAACGGCGTATAGGTCCATGTCCGCAAAAAGAAAGAGAACCGGTTCTAACCCTATATTATAGGGTTGGGGCGCCGCCGGCACAACTTGAAATTTCTTCATTCTTTCCGATTAAAAAATGACCGATCATCGCTGGCTGTTACATTAGAGGAATGAAGGAAACTTAAGAAATGCTCGATTTTTGTGGTCAATACAATATCACGTGTAAGCCCATTCTGTTTTAGATTCTTCTAATGAATTTTCATTTCACATGAAGAACAGAATAGAGTTAGTTCTATAGTATCTACACCATCGCGCAAGTTTACATCTACAGTCACGTGGCACTATGGACAAATTAACAGCATTTCCAAAACAGTATTTTGATCGTTTCCGATTCAATCAACAGGCACCTTATTTCGACCGTGTGAAAACAGCAACAAATAATGATCTGGTATCGTTATTTGATGATTTAGTACAAGCTCTGCAATTGAATACGACCAGCATTCATCAAATTTGCCAGGAATTCTCTGATATACCAGATGAAAAATTAACAGATGTATTACTGTTAGATCATGAACTTTACGTCTTACTATTACCCAATACTTTATGTAAGTTATTAGAAAAATGGTGTTCAAAAACACCTTTGACAGATGATGAGAGTGACTTATTTGGTGAAACAAGTCAATTATTATTAAGACTAGTTCAAGGTTCGAATGACGAACCAGATAAAATCGATAAAATTGGCACATGGCTATTAAATGAGACATTTATTGGAGCGATATGTTCTTGCGTTCAACAAATAGCCAAAACAGGTACACATTTATCCGATCATAATCTGGAACATCTGAATACATTATTGGAAGCACTAACGAGTTTTCAAGCTAGGCGAAAATTAATTACGGATAATTCAGCAATGTTACTATTACTTGAATCCGTTGTTGCATGTTTAGAATCGTCGTATTATACTGATACATTTCTTGTACTTCGGCCAGAAACCACAATGCTAACGACATCTGAAGTATTTTTGTTGATAACATGTACGAACTATTTGAAGAGCTATGATGGTCATCGAAAAACGGAACTATCAGAGAAGCTTCTGCAAATAATGATTGAAAGTTACATTAAAATCTATGATAATTTTATACCGTCAATTGAACAATGGAAACATTCTCTTACTCGTTCTATTTACTGTATGACACATTTAATATCATATCATGATAAAAATTTAAATGGATATGAAGAAAAACTAGTGGATAATCTCACTCAAATATTAAATTCAACAAATTTATTTCGAAACATCTCATCGATAGGTATTAATAGTGAAATTTTGTTAATAGAAGCCGCTTTACGTATACTCAGTGAATTGACGTTGAATCTGGCTACACTGGCCATGGTTAGAGAAAAACAATTGAATGACACCATCACAAAATTCACCAAAGTGGAAAATGATGATATTACACTTAAAGCCTGCCAGCTATTAGGCTCGATTATGTCAGATGACGAGTTTAAACAAACAGTTGATCTGGTTAAAGTGACAGAAGTGGTTATTAATAACTTGAAGGATGTACTCAATTCACCATCAGCTGAAAATCGAGAAAAAGTTTTATCAAACTTGAAAAGTAAGTGTTTTTTCTAAGCTATGCATTGTGACACCGTCTCTCTGGTATTTATCAAAGTTGCCGTGATATGCTGGTTATTTCTTTATAGATCTAGTGGAAAATGATGATATTAAAAATGAGATCATTAGTCAAAATGCATTAGGTTCAATAATTAAAAGTTCAACGGACAAAGCGGATGACGCAACACCATTACAAATCCTCTATTCAATCGCATTTAATGCGAACGCCGTCGATCAATTTAAAAATGATAAAAATTTTCTCGAACATGTTCGAGAACAAGAAAAATCTGATAAAGTAGACGTGCAGGTTGCTGCTAAAGGTAATACACTATAAAGGACGCAATGTACCTGTACAAATAACGCACTTAATAAAAATCTAGTGGAATTTTCTACTTCCTGAAAATGGGATGGTGTAGACTATATATATGTGTTTAGGTATAATGTGGAAACTTGTTGATGAAGCAAAGTTTATTACTGAACAAGAAGAAAAGGAAACTGCCCATCTTGTTCAATCACAAGGATCAAATACGTCTGAAGTGAATAAGTCGTCACCAAAATCAGATGACAAGCGCGGCAGCATTGATGAACATGAAAAATATGACATGATGATTAGTTATTCATGGAATGAAAAAGAATTGATTTATAAAATATATGATCGATTAGTCAAAGATGGATATAGAATATGGCTTGATAGAGATAATATGTATGGTTCAATCATTCTACGGATGGCAGAGGCCATTGAAAATTCTGATTTTATTTTGATAAGTATGTCGAGTGCCTATAAAAAATCGCCAAATTGTCAGGCAGAAGCAGAATATGCTTATAATCGAAAGCGATGTATTATTCCACTGATTAGCGAAGAAAACTACCGTGCAAATGGATGGTTAGGATTTATCGCTGGGTCAAAAATGTATGTTGATTTTCAACAAGGTGACTTTGATGGCGCATATGACCTTCTAATCAAAGAAATTAAACGAAATCAAGGAAAAAGTGTTCCGCCAAAAGAGCGAAGCAAACCACCAGTCGAAGAAACAAAAGAGAAAAAAGGTAACGTGTTTATTTAACAGTGTATTAACATCAGAGATTGTACACATTTCTTGAGTCTACCGATGATAAACATTATGGCTCTGGTTCTTTCATAAATCTTGTTTTCCACTCTAGATCTATTACCCAAGTGTAGGTGTCACATAAAACGTACCGATTTTATATCATTCACGAATATTTTGAGGATTTGTAGTGTCATCTGCTCAGCATTTCAAAGTCCTAATTTATGTAGTAAGATTTTCAGTATTCATCTAATTTAAGAGAATCTCACAATCCCTCATCCTGACATTCAGGCAATACCACAACTATCCGCAAATCACGACGCATTCGCGGAAGTGATTTATGAAGAGCAAGTTGCTGTCTTGGGAAAATCCCCTTTTCCTTCAGCAGTTGGTGAGAGAGCGCCAGCAAGAGTAGCGGAAGATCAAGAACATGCTGGAGCGTTAAAAAGAAATATGGAAGAGATGATGATACACAGACAGAGTTTATGGATTGACGTTGATTTACCTCAAAGTCGGAATTATGTTGATATCGAAGAAGTGAGGAACTGGTCCGAGGAGAACGTTTTGGAATTTTTAAATGATTTCAAACTGGGTGAAATGGCATCACTGTGCCATTCAATGGATGGTTGTGGTTTGATTGAATTGTACAGTGCATGTGTCTCGTCGTCAGAATCGATGTATAAAATGTTAAACACGCAATTTGTTGAAATCAATCGGAGGACATTACCAATAGCTGCTTATTTTAAATTTATTGGTAAACTTAAACAATATCTTCGAAAAAAACCAAACGAAAAAACTTGTATTATGGTAGGAAGTATGTTTTTGATGGTGATTTCACGTTCAATATTATTTTTGCATCATCAAATCAATCTTATTCGTTTGTTTTTAAATTTCTTTTACCAACTTCAATAAGAAAATGCTATGGCTTTTAGCCCGGAAGATTTTATTATTTGGAAAAGTGTTGCTGTGTTTTCATTTCATCTATTCTATTGAGACATTTTACTGTTATAGCTTTTACTGGTGGAAATAAGCTTTCTAATATGTTCAACGCTTTTTGATAGGAATTAGTGGCATCTTTCTTTATATTCATTAAATCGAGAATATTTCCAATTTCCATTAACGTTCTAGCCACATAAAAATGATTTTCACCACGTGTCTCTTGTTCGTCTAGTAATTTTCGTTTGCAGAACAGCAGCGCCTATTCATAATCGCCTATCTTTTCATAACAATTCGCTATGTTATTTAAAACCAAAGTATATTTTGGATGTCCAATACGCAATGTATTCTCAATAATAGTGATAGCACGTTGAGAATACTCGAGTGATAGAGTGTAGTCACGTTGATGATAATAAATCATACTAACATCTATATAACCTAAACCAATATAAAGATGATGTTCTGAAAGTAGCGTTTGTTCAATATCAAGAGCTTTTAAAAATAATTCCAAAGTACAATCATAGTGTTCCATTTGTTGATAAACTTGAGCTGAAACAATATCGAGATATTAATCTTCAGGTAATATAGAGAGCAGAGCTCTACAAAAATTCTAATTTTTTAAAACAAATTAAAATGTCTTTAAGCTTAGAAGCAAAAGTGCATTTCAACTAGGCATGCAACGGAGATCGATAATCGATTTATATTGTAAAAACTGTCTATAAATTCAACGAAGCGATATCTTTTATCATCAATCTGCATAGAGAATATAATTTTTCTTGATCATCTCGAAACAGCCGCTAATTACACTTGGTGAAATAATATTTCTAGTAGGGACTTATTAAATTCCACTAATAGGTAGTATCATTTAGGTTACCTAATGATCGAAAGAGAAGAGAAAACTCTCAATGTCTACTATTAAAAGAGGCTAGGCGGTTTAATGAGATTGGTTATAAATGATAATCAGCACATGGATGCAGTCGATCTTGACTAATTAGCCGATCATTACCTTTTATGAGTAGGGATGTTTTTGGAACCGAAATGGCGGTTTCCGTTCTGTACTTAGAACCAAAACGAAAAGAACCACGGTTCCGGTTCCTGACTTAGGAGAGAACCGCGGTTCGCGATTCTCAGCTTTGAACCGGAGAAGAATTTTTTAGGCAGTAACAATTCAACAAAATAAAAGTCATTTTATTGTAAACCAAAGATTCTTTTAAATAAAGATAAATATATCTTTTGCAGCTTAACGATAGTCTGTTTTCATTTTGTTAAAAGAAAGGCAAGACAAAAGGATAAGGCAGAAGAGAAAAGAACGAGTTTCATAATAAGATACCTACAAACAGTCAGAAAAGACAGTTTCAAAAGCACTCGGAAGTAGCCTAGATTAGGAAACAACTCAACACACTTTTGGCTGAGGAATTGTTGAAAGGTAAGTCATCTATGATATAGAACGAGGAAATATTTAGAACGTTCGACTGGTGTTTAAGTTGTCAGTCAAATTCGATTTTCGAATTATATTTCGATTCCAAAGATTCGAATTATGTTTTAGAATATCAACTTCAACTTTCGCTTTTGAAATAAGATGAATAGTATACATGAGCTAATCGTAACTTTTTTGTATTTTTTTTGGATACATTTTATAGCCCACACTTCATTGAGGCCCCACAAAAAATTTCCCAACTACAGACGCGAACTGGCTGAAATATTTCAGTAACAAGGTCGATTTCTAGCGCTCGACGGGATTTCAACGGAATCTATGCAAAATACTCGCCCAAAATAAATTTATGACATACCATTCGACTCGTCTGGAGACAAGCAATCTAGTGAGTCTACTAGCAGTTGATATAAGGGAAAAAACGCAAAAAACCTATAAAAAACGCGTTTTATCTCGAAAAACGCCACTAAAGTTCACTC